GGGGCTTCATCGTCTTGGTCAGGCTGGTCTCAAACTCCTGACCTTGTGATCTGACCACCTCGGCCTCCTAAAGTGCTGGGATTACAGGCATGAGCCACCATGCCCGGCTGAGGTAAGTTTTTGTTTTTTTGAGACGGAGTCTCGTTCTGTCACCCAGGCTGGCTTGAGTGTAGTAGTGCAATCTTAGCTCATTGCACCCTCTGCATCCCAGGTTCATGCCATTCTCCTTCCTCAGCCCCCTGAGTAGCTGGGGCTATAGGCACCCACCACCACGCCTGGCTAATTTTTTTTGTATTTTTAACAGAGACAGGGTTTCACTGTGTTAGCCAGGATGGTCTTGATCTCCTGACCTCGTGATCCGCCCGCCTCAGCCTCCCAAAGTGCTGGGATTACAGGCGTGAGCCACTGTGCCTGGCCAGGTAGGTTTTTTTTAAGTCACTATTACACATAATTAGTAGTACGAACCCTTAGGTCACTCTCAAACAATGGACAATATAAGTGGTAAATCTTCAAATGTCTTCCAAACTTCTCATTAGTGTATCTAAAGTAAGTCCCATTTTTGTGGCAATTGGTCCGAGTATGTAAGAAGTGCTGAGAAGGTGCCTACAATATCCTTTTATTGAACACCTGCTTTGGGCAGGTAAATATATGACATCATTGACCCTGGGAGTTCATTATTCAGAGGCAAGGTATGGTGTAGAGATAGGGCCCCTCCAGGAGTCTGGGAGTCCCTGTTGTAGCTCCAGACCTACCACCAAGTTTTTTGGGTGGCTTTAGGCAAGTTACTTAACCTCTTTGTGCAGAGCTAAACCTAGGACCAGACATCACTTCCCATTGTCCAGGGCAGATGGAGGGAATCTGGGTTTGCGTGAGCTAGATTCAACACATTTGGTGTACTTTCCTCACTTGGACACAGGCAGAAAGGAGGCTCAAAGAAGTTAAGAGCTTCCCAAAGGTATCCAGCTGGTGAGGGGCAAAGGAACCTGAGGGGCTACCTGGCTGTGGTTTGTTTGTAAGCTATTCTGGGGATGAGGAAGGATGGATTTTCACACCTGGGACTCCCAACCTGAGGCCTACAAGGACTGCTTTAGAAAGGGCAGACCAGAACAATCAAGAGAGGGTACCAGTAGCTAGCCAGCTTTCTGCCGCTGTGGCCAGAAGACTAGGGTATGCCAGTGGGAGGAACTCAGCCCTGGTCAGGAGCTTTCCCTAACGGAGACATTTGTGGGAATGGGGGCAAGGGGCGGGAAGAGTAGGCAAAGCTCACGAGAAGCCAGTTCTGGAAAAAATTCCAGAGGATCATCTAGTTTACCAGGCACACTTTACCACATTCTGATTCATGGTCTGAGTCAGTGGGCCCAGTAAGCTACACTATTAGCAGTACATGTCTCAGGACCTTGAAAACACTGATCTAATTACTTCCAAGATAAGGAAAGCAAGGACGAAAGAGGGAATGGTGTCCTAGGGCCACACAGCCTCCTTCTTTACACTGACCTTTCCTGTGGATACTAAGACATGTGCATTGGAGCTGGAGGTGGTGCCGGGTATGCTCCAAGAACTGGACCAGTTCCCTTCCCTGGTCTGGGCCTCAGTTTCCTGATCTCTGAAATGGGGGTTGGGCTGCATCCTTGGGGCCTCTAAGTCCTCCATGAGTGTTTGCATCTGGGTAATGGGCTTCTACCAAATCTCCTTCTGGAGTCTGTTTGGCTGGCTGGCTTCCTTGCCCCTTCACATATTCAATCTACCTGTGGAAGCAGCGTGAATTTAAGCTGGAATATGTTCTAGCTGGAATCTCAGGAGCTGAGCTCTTAGTTACTTCTCTGTAGCAATGGAGGTCTGGTGGTTCCACTTAAAATTTCCCAAGGCCCCCTTGTCCAATGGCCTGTGTGCTCACTTACCCCTCAGCATGGCTTTCTGGGGTCTTTACAAGCTCACTGCCACCTCCTCTGCCAGCTTCCTGCCTGCCCCCCATGGTATACTGTCGTACACTCTGGGCATCCCTGTATCTTTGAACACCTGCAGGTATGAACTGGACTGCTGGTTCCCCAGTGCACAGCCCACCACATTACTGGGTGGGTGCCTGGTAAACCCTGGCTCCTTCCCCGTGTGTGCATGTCTTGTGCTTGGACACTGATGTTCCATCCTTAGGGCCCTCCCAGAAGGTCAAGCCCCGAGTCAGGGTGCCCCTTCCTCCCAGCCGTCCTCCTTCCAGCTCTCCTCCTCCCGGCACTCCTCCCTGCATGTGGCATGGAGGGTTCTGGTACCTGCTTTGATGAGAACCTGTGGGATGCTCTTTCATACTCTGCACAACACACAACAATGAATGTAGATAGAGGGGAGGCTCACTGCATGTTTGGTGACTGACAAGAGGGGCCAATTTCAGAATTCCCTGACTACAAATCCGACATTCTCCCCTCTGGCCCTGGTCCCCTTGTCTGCCATCTCATTCCATCTCTCTGCATCAGGGACAGCCAAGGACATATGCACCCAAGCCTTGGTCTACACGCCCGCTTCCAGCCTGGAGAGCTCATCGTCGGGAAAGTCGTGTGAGTCCTCATGAGC